AGGTTCCGTTCGGATGGCTGACGTGACTAATTTTCTGTCCATTTTTAAAGCATACTTGTTGTCGTTTTTACCTAATATATTAACTATCTGTATAGTATCTAATATGTTTACACTCTTTATAGTGTCGGAGGACTATGAATGGAGACCAGGCATAAAATCTGCTTACGACATTACCTAGTCGATTTGGAATAGCTGGTTTTGGAGCGGTCAATTGATCCCTTTTTAGCCCCGTTGGCCTTTGTTCTAGATTTTTTAGCTTGGATCTTTTATCAGGGCTATAAATACCGAACAATCAATGTTCATCGGTCGGTAATTTCCTAAGTGTTACTGCAATTTAATGGGATTTCTGTAGGACAGGTCCCTGTTGTGAGCTGTTTAAGGGAATATTAATAAAAGACCCACCGCAACCTGTATACGAGTATGTTTTTCCTGGGATATGAATGTTGTTCTCAAAAATCTGTCTAATATGCCTAGTGACTACATGTACCACCTTTCTATTTTACAACTGAAAAAACAAGAGGCGCATGGGCCACATCCCTCACCTGAGTAACTTGGGTGATGCAGTTCTTTACAAGATTTCCCCTATTGTTATACCTATCGTGCCCCCCTACCCCCTCCCCTTCATGGTTTTAATACTTTAGAATCTTCACTACCCTAGAATGCTTCTACATAAGTTTCAGCATGCCTGACTCAGTGGTTTTTAAGAAGATTTTAAAAGATTTTTCCTAAATAATTATATGTAAAACTTTGATTCCCTATTATGGCCCCGACCTACCCCCGGGGGTAATGATTTTAACAGTTTAAAATCTACACTACCAAGAATGCTTCAACATAAGTTTCAGCTTTTCTGGCCTAGTGGTTTCTGAGAAGAAGATTTTTACAGATTATTAAGGTCTTCCGTTTCCAACGGAAGACCTTCTACTGATTCTGTTGGTAAAGATTATTATTCTTTTTTTTTTCTTCTGCTTCCTAGACTGCAACTTTGAGGCCTCATATCTCACTCATTTCTCAAAGGATTTCGCTCAAATTTTCAGAGGTTATAGACGTTAATAAACTCTATCAGAATGCTGACTAAAATTTCAAAAAGCCACTTTCGGTTTTGAGTTATTTCCCTTTAAACGAACATTTATAGGCTTTCGTTTCCAGACAAAGGCTCAGAGACGGCTAAAGCTGGAGCAGAAATTCTACTGATTTTAGATAATAGAAGAATTGAAGTTGTGCACATCGGTTTTTGTTTTTCGATTTCTCTATTCAAAATGGCGCTATATAGGGGTCAAAAATTAGAACGCTTAAAAGAACCAAAAATTACTCATATTTTGCTTTTTATCTTCTAAACTAAAAATATTTTGTTAAAATATATAGAACATAATTTGTGCAGAATTAGAAGATCTTTCAAAAGATATGTCGGGAAAAGGGTTGACCCCTAAATTAAAGGATCTAGAGGGGCCAAAAGTTTTTTCCAGATATCTCAAAAAGTATTGAGAATTTTTTATACATTAAAGAAGCAAAGTTGTTAAAAATGTCAAGCTTAATCAAATAAAGTCGTCAATTTACGTCCATCGTCGTCACTTCCGGTCAAACCGGAAGTAGTCGGAAAACGCATATTTTTGCCGTTTTTAACACGTTTTAGGGTAAAATATGTCTCTGGAAGCTTAAAAATTAATTTTCCGTGCATCGTCGTCACTTCCAGTCAAACCGGAAGTAACAAAAAATGGCTTATTTTTGCATTAATTAACATAGCTCTAGAGGATTCAAAGCATTTTAGGGCGTTATTTCTCATATTTGTTAAAAATGAAAGCTACTTCCGGTCAAACAGGACGGAAGACCTACTCGTTGCTTTGCAACGAGCTTTGCTCTAGTTGTATATATTTTTATGTAAAACCTTGATTCCCTATTGTGACCCCGCCCTACCCCCGGGGGTCATCTACGCTACCCAAGAATGCTTCCACGTAGGATTCAGCTTTCCAGGCCCAGTGGTTTTGGAGAAGAAGATTTTTGAATAACTTCACTTTATTTTTTGGAAGGGAACTTTGCCCTTCATTTTTACAAGTTAACTCCCCTTTACGCAAAGTTGCTTTGTACAAAATTTGCCTAAATTTGGCCTATTGGTTCTTGAGAAGAAGTCGAACATGTGAAAAGTTGACGGACAAACAGTTGACGGACAAAATGTGATCAGAAAAGCACAACTGAGCCCTCGGCTCAGGTGAGCTAAAATTAATCATTTTACTCACTCTAGGCGCTCCAAAAAGGTTTTCTGAGATTGGTATATTTGATCGATTTATGGAAAAAAGGCGATAGTATTGTTTTTTCTTTATGAGGTTTATCAAAATCTCTGACGAACGTTACATGTAGATCTGTTCGATAATGAATATATCATCAATTACTTCTGACTTATTTCTTACGTATGGATGATACACCCCGTTGGATTAACCTATGTTTTATTCACGGGAAGATGCTTTATCAATAGCACTTCCGGTTTTTGACACGATCCTTGGCTTCGACTGAAACTTTTATTTGTAAACTTCTTGCCGTTACAAAATGAAAAGTAATGAACAATTATGTCGTTAAAAGCAAGAAAAAGAGTATGTCAAAAAAGTGTCTTATTTTATCAAGCAGGGACGTAGCAACAGTGTGGGGGGGGGGGGGGGGTGCCCCCCCCCCACTTTTTCCCCCATCATTACCTTAACTATAGAAAATGTTAATTGAAAGGAGGGTTGCGGCCCGGTTGCCCCCCCCCCCACTTTTTACCATAGTATAGTGATGAAAAAGAAATGGTATTGAAATTAACTTGGATGTAGAAAAGAGAAAAGTTGGCCACTACCCCCTCGGCAAGCCTCGCGAATATATACACCATTTCAACTCGTTGGATAAAGCCAATATCAATTCACACGATATAGAGATTTCATTTTGGGCCCACATAGTATCTTCAATTCTTACAAAGATACATATAATTTATTAAGTTCACTTTCAGAAATCTCTATATTTTATGAGACATTTGCCTTCATTGTACTTATGACGAGAGATACTGCAGAGTAAATACAGATTATCCCTCTGGAAATTGAATGCATTCAGAACTAAAGCAATACATGAGAAACAAACATTACACGCATGTAGCCTAAAGTCAGCGACTGGAACGGGTAACGATAAGCTTTTTCTAAAGACTGGACAAATATCTGCCCTATAGGTCAAAGCCTATTTTGACCTAAAAGTGTTGATTTATGTCAGATCAAGAAAACTACAGGTTTGCAGCTATTTCTGTTTATACATCCTTTAGTATTTGAAAACAACAAAATATATTTTAAGTTTACAGTTTATTTACAACACTGCACAGCATAAGCAAAAATCACTCAATGTTGAAAATACAAAGTAATCTATATTGTAATAATGAGGAGAAAATTCACATCTTTTTTTCAACCAATACGTTTTACTGCTTATTTCTAATTTAAAAAAAATATCCCCTCCTTTCCATTTTTTTTAATATAGTGTAATCCCCACCCCATATTCTCTTGCCATTCTTTTAAATTTCATGCTTCTTAAAAGTTCAGAACTCACTCCTTTCCTCTAATCTTTTGATATTGGACAATTTCCAATTTTTAGCTCTACTGGTCAGAGACCAGAAGAGCTTATGCGATAGTAATGCGTCCGGCGTCCGTCCGTCTGTCTGTCTGTCTGTCCGTCTGTCCGTCTGTCTGTAAACAATTTTTCAAAATGCTACTCCTCCTACAGTTTTGGTCTAATTTCAATATAACTTGGCACACAAGTAGAATACACTAAGATACATAATTCTGTGTATCGGTTTTTAATTTCGATGAACGGTGTTGCCATGGTTACTAAAAATAGAAATTTCTGTGAAATACTTTCAAAATGCTACTCCTCCCACAGTTTTGGTCTGATTTCAGTATAACTTAGCACACAAGTAGAATACACTAAGATACATAATTCTATATATCGGTTTTTGATTTCGATGAACGGTGTTGCCATGGTTACTAAAAATAGAAATTTCTGTGAAATTCTTTCAAAATGCTACTCCTCCCACAGTTTTGGTCTGATTTCAGTATAACTTAGCACACAAGTAGAATACACTAAGATACATAATTCTATATATCGGTTTTTGATTTCGATGAACGGTGTTGCCATGGTTACTAAAAATAGAAATTTCTGTGAAATTCTTTCAAAATGCTACTCCTCCCACAGTTTTGATCTGATTTCAGTATAACTTGGCACACAAGTAGAATACACTAAGATACATAATTCTGTGTATCGGTTTTTTATTTCGATGAACGGTGTTGCCATGGTTACTGAAAATAGAAATTTTTGTGAAATTCTTTCAAAACGCTACTTCTACAGTTTTAATCTGATTTCAGTATAACTTGGCACACAAGTAGAATACACTAAGATACATAATTCTGTATATCGGTTTTTGATTTCGATGAACTATGTTGCCGTGGTTACTAAAAATAGAAATTTCTGTGAAATTCTTTCAAAATGCTACTTCTCCCACAGTTTTGGTCTGATTTCAGTATAACTTGGCACACTAGTAGACTACACTAAGCTACATAATTTCATATATCAGTTTTTGATTTTGATGAACGGTGTTGCCGTGGTTACTAAAAATAGAAATATCTGTAAAATTGTTTCAAAATGCTACTCCTCCTACAGTTTTGGTCTGATTTCAATATAACTTGGCACACAAGTAGACTACACTAAGAACATAAATTGACTTTATCAACGATCATTATTCTATTTATTGCTGTTGTAAAGTTTCAAATCCCAGCTGCTTAAGTACTTTTCTCTTCCTTTGCTATAAGTTCAAACCAGTAGAGCTTCAGTCTCGACAGAGACTTCTGGTTTTAAAAGGCGTCTTCATATTTTTTTTTTGCCATTCAGTGAATATCTGTCCAACTCCACATCCTACTTTCAAAATGCATACTACGTGTCTCAAAATCCAACCAAAGTTAAAGGAAGGCAATGCTTATTACAAAGGGAAAAGTGCATCTTCTAGAAGAAACGTGTCTTCAATCGTTCACGGGGCCCCGAAATGTTGGTTTCTTCTTTTAATCCGAATTTGCTGAGCATGAACAAACTAAAAAATAAAAATTTATACATTTTAGAAAAAAAATAATCATAAACAAACATGTTTATTTTTCATCCTTTTAAAAATTGTTTAATTCCAAGCTCACAAAATGATATTTAATGATATTTAATGTTAAAGGACATCATTTAAATGTAGATAAGTACTTAATACAAAAAAAAATTATGCATAAATATGGAATAATGAGTAATATGAATGTATAGATACTCTACTTAACGAGGCTGAGTCTAATTCGAGTGCGCATCACTTTGCGCAGCTTTTTAATTTCATGCAGTCATTAATTATTTTAATTTTAATATAAAACTAACATTATTTGTAACTCCTACTGATCTGAAAATGTGATTTTACGACAATTATTGGAAAAATAACGTTGAAATGGCTCTTACAACGACACCATAGATACGTATTTTTACCGTAATATGGCAAATTTTAGAGGTATTTGGCTTCGACCAAGACCAATCGAGATGGTGAATTTTTTTGAAATTTCATAATTTGGTGACATTTTTTAACATTTACTTTCATTTACTTGAATTAAAAAGAAATCCCTAGGGCAGAAGTACAAAAAATATTGAAAAAATGTAATAATTTGGCGATTTTCCAACAAATTCCCATAGGGTCCAATAGTAAAGTTTGACAACATGTAAGATGGCCCACTAAGAAAACGGGGTGGTAAACATTCGCTTTTTTAATCCTAAAACAATAAATATAACAGTAAAAATAAATAATCAAAAAATTATCAAAATCCCTAGGGCAGAAATAATTAGACTCGGCCTCGTTAAGAATAATATAAATAATTTAATCTGTACTTAGTAATATTATAAATACTGGGAGGAATTTCAAACAGGAGGACACGGTAGAAGGTCGGGGTCTTAAGGTTGCATAGAAGCCCCTTGTGGGTCCAGGGCAAAGCCTTAGTGGGGATCCAGGGACAAACTTCTTGAAAATGGGGGCGATTCTAACAGATAATTTTCTTCTTCGATTTTAGGATAGTACAAGCACAATCTCAAATAAGAAATTCAGAAGGGAGGGCGCTGGCCCTAGAACCGCCTTTGTTGTATTCAAAAATACTGAACTTATAAATAATGACTGTTGTTTAATGTTTACCTAGTGACGTCTTATCAGCATCATCGTCCCTGCCACAGATGTCCCGGATGTTATAAGAGGATACCAGGGGTCCGACCAGCCTGTCACAGACCAGAGACCGTTGAGACAGGCGTCGTAGCAGCAATTCATCCACCACCCTAATCGCCAGTAAGAAGCACAGTCATAACCACATCTGTCATTTTTTCTGTCTGGGGTGCTGAAAGCCATCCCTGACAGATCAGCAGAAGACCTCCTCGTTTTATACATTGAGTCCCCTATAGAATAAAAAAAGAGGTTATGTGAGCCTCACTTAGTGATACTTAGTACCCACGACTCCCATAAGATAATCATGGCAAAATGCATGTTTTGCTTATTCACGTAAACAAGTCGGACGGAAAAAGAGAAGTAACTATAGAATATAAAAGGACACCCAAAAATATGTGTCCTCAAAAAGTAAAAAAGGAGGTGCGCAATGGCAGTGTGTAGTTATGATTCTGTGAAATTTTCATAAAATTTCATTCGGTGGAGGAGTCTGCGGAAAAGAGATGGGTACCTCAAAGCTTTACAGACAGACATCCCGACTAGTACTGTGAACCAATTTTTATTCACGTGCGAGAAATATCCTTGAGTGGTGCGATCTTTTTTAATTTGCGAATATTAAACGCCGCGAACCATTCATTTTGCTAAGCATTTGTAGAAAATGTTTGATCAGTCGCAGAAATTCAATCGTTGCGAATTGATTTTTTGCTGACGAATCGCGAACAAAATATGACCCGAATAATTATGTATGCAGGGGAAATTTTCGCTCCCGTTTTATTTTCACCCCTTTCGCTCTCTCCTTTTGGCGAATTTAAAACGGGGCAAAATTGTTCACAAGTTCAAAATGGCGAAAATAACACGGAGTGAAAATAACCCTGTATACAGTAGTTGGTTTACAGTATATACACTGCCGCTTTTCAAGCGGGGGTATAAACAACATTGAACGTATGACACACTAACCAAGATTTAAGTCAACAAGCTCCTTGTATTAGATAATACCCCCTGCTTGAACTAAGCTCTATCTTTAACTTCCCTTACTTATGTAATATTACATTATACGGATGTTATATACCTCAGTTTATTTTAGACGCAAGAGCATATTCTAAAACGAAGTAAATCATTCACAAACAATTTGATGAAACAAAAATTTCAGCAGTCTCTTTTAATATCCTCATTTCGTATGTTCTGTGGTGGATAAAGTGACCTGACCTTGTCAGCAAATACAATTTATAATTGAGTCAAATGCTGACTGACGTTTTTCAAGTGGAATACGTATAAGTCTACAAAAGAGAAGGACATGAAGGGACCCTGTTACAAGACAAATTGATGGAAGAAACCAGTGATTGTCCCAGAATGATTATGTGGATAGCGTAAGCAAATGATTCGAGATCACGGACTGTGACTAGCCGAGCGAATATGTTTTCCTATAAATAATGAACACTTTGAGGTATTGACTGCTCGATGTGTTACACATGTATTTGTGGTTCGATAAATATTAACAAACACGATGCATCATACGTAGCTGTAACTTGAATCGCTGATAAGTTTTTGTATTGCTTGTGTAATGACTCGGCACTTTAAGAGACGCACAAATTACGTTTTTCTTGAGCTGGTTTCTTCCAAATTTAGATAGGGATAGGGATGAGTTTTCCTGGATGTGTACTAGCTTAACCTCCTTATCCCACAGGGGAAACTCAGTAAGTGAACTCAGTTGTTTAATTAATGCTATTTATATTTGTTACTTTTGATTTTTTTCTTTTCAACATACCGGTAATATTTAAGACACTGTGAAATGTAAACCGGTTTTAATATAGACCATTGTTTGTATTTATTTTCCACTCTCTTTCCTCTCTCTCTCTCTCTCTCTCTCTCTCTCTCTCTCTCTCTCTCTCTCTCTCTCTCTCTCTTTGGTTTGTTAAGTACACGTTCCACTTTTCACCTACCTAAAGTTCCCGTAGCAGGTTCGGCGAGAAATAGTTGATACTTGTCTGCCTCATCAGAAATGGAGAATTGATTGTACAACTGGTACAGTGTTGTACCATTCACAAGTGTGATGGAGATGTAGAGGGAGGAGTTCTTTCCCTTTGTCAGTTGATGGATGGCCTCATTTCCTGTTTAAATTGAATTTTTGTAATTGTTTAATTTGTCAAGAGAAGGAGTATGTAATACTCGAACGCTTTATGTTCCATAACTTATCCTTTACTACGTTTCATATGTAGATATTGAATTATATTAAAAAAATCAGTCTTATAAAGTAAGCATTTGTTCTTTTCTTAAATTAATTGTAAAGTTAAGTTACAAGCGGTTAATGAGAATTGTTGAATTTGTATAATCTTGTTTAAAAATTATATCAAACTTTGATGTCAAATCTGAAAAAAAGCATTACAAATTTCATTTATAAAAATCTGCAGCGCATAAAAGATTCGAAGTTACCTATCCAAACGTCCCGCTCTGGTACACCAAAACCATCCTCATAGTCAGCCCAATTCCTTTCAAAGGACACAGACCCGTCTATTCGTTTTTGAATGGCCTTGAAAAGATAAACATACATGATTAACGTCCTAAAAGAATTTTTCCGTGTCGTTTAATAATCACTCTAACTGTCTATTCTTCCGTCAACAAAATAACACACCTGGCCGTGCCGACAAATTATCATATCGCGCGTAAGCGCGGTATTCAATTTGTTGGCACGGTCAGGTGTGTAATAGGACTGAAAACATCCCAAAATATGAATTCAATCCTTATTTGGACCACAGATATCACAGTTACCTATTGGACTACAGGTATCACACTTAGCTATTAGACCACAGGTTTCACTCTTAGGTATTGGACCAAAGGTATCACAGTTACCTATTGGACCACAAGTTTCACACTTTGTTATTGGACCACAGGTTTCACACTTAGCTATTAGACCACAAGTTTCACACTTAGCTATTGGACCAAAGGTATCACACCTAGCTATTGGACCACAGGTTTCACACTAAGGTATTGGACCACAAGTTTCACACGTACCTATTGGACCACAGGTTTTACACTTAGCTATTGGACCACAGGTTTCACACTTAGCTATTGGATTACAGGTTTCACACTTAGCTATTGGACCACAGGTTTCACACTTAGCTATTGGACCACAGGTTTCACACTAAGGTATTGGACCACAAAATCAATGAATCTAGTTAACAGTTTCTAAATAAATAACATACCGTCCATCCTCCGCCCCGAGTTTTCATGTCGCAGTACACACGGACAGGGCGACAGTTCACACCAAAGGGATATATTACATAAACTCCTGAACCATGGTGACCATTATGACGAATGTCCTCACAATCCAAGGGGAAGATCTGAAACGGAAAAACACTCTGCTGCCATTCATCTTTATGTTTGTGATTACACATTTAACAAATGCATGATGATACACGAACTAAGAGGTAAAAATATTTGTGAGCATTTGCGAACACAGATACCGGTTAATACAGGAACTAAGAAGTAGGTACAAAGGTGTATACAGGAACTAAGGAGTAGATACACAGGTATATACAGTAACTAAGAAGTAGATACACAGGTGTATACAGGAACTAAGAAGTAGATACACAGGTGTATACAGGAACTAAGTAGTAGTTACACAGGTGTATACAGGTAATAAGGAGTAGATACACAGGTGTATACAGGAACTAAGAAGTAGATACACAGGTGTATACAGGAACTAAGAAGTAGATACACAGGTGTATACAGGAACTAATTAAGAATTTGATACACAGGTGTATACAGGAACTAAGGAGAAGATACACAGGTATATACAGGAACTAATTAAGAAGTAGATACACAGGTGTATACAGGTAATTGGGAGTAGATACACAGGTGTATACAGGTAATAAAGAGTAGATACACAGGTGTATACAGGTAATAAGGAGTAGATACACAGGTGTATACAGGTAATAAGGAGTAGATACACCGGTGTATACAGGTAATAAGGAGTAGATACACAGGTGTATACATGTAATAAGGAATAGATACACAGGTGTATACAGGAACTAATTAAGATGTAGATACACAGGTGTATACAGGAACTAATTTAGAAGTAGATACACAGGTGTATACAGGTAATAAGGAGTAGATACACAGGTGTATACAGGAACTAAGAAGTAATTACACAGGTGTATACAGGAACTAATTAAGAAGTTGATACACAGGTGTATACAGGAACTAAGGAGTAGATACACAGGTGTATACAGGAACTTATTAAGAAGTTGATACACAGGTGTATACAGAAACTAATTAAGAAGTTGATACACAGGTGTATACAGGAACTAAGGAGTAGATACACAGGTGTATACAGGAACTAAGGAGTAGATACACAGGTGTATGCAGGAACTAATTAAGAAGTTGATACACAGGTGTATATAGGAACGAAGATGTAGATACGCAGGTGTATACAGGAGCTAGAGAGTAGGTACACAGGTGTATATAGTAAAAAGAAGTAGATACACAGATGTATACAGGAAAAAAGTAGATACACAAAGTCAATCCGATAGCATGAACTAAGACAAAAGTATATATAGAGAAAAGGTTGACCAATATTTTAGCTGAAAATCAAAGAAATACTTGATTTTTAACACAGAAAGATCGGTGGGGTACAACGTAAACAAGCCGGATTTGCATCTAATAATGTATACTTGTAGTGGGGTGTTTTTGGTGGAACGATTATTTTCATGGTTTTTTTTTCGATTTTTTCCTAGTGTAAACATGATGAGTTAGTGTAATGAATATGATTTGTGAAAAAAAATATCCAATAAGCCCTGGGATTGAATATCGGGAGGGTGTGTTCCTATCGACATGTATATGTGGTGCCCTGTTTTCAAAAAGTGAGTACATTTCATGTGTATTCAACTTGCTAAACTCTGTACACAACACTAAGGTTGGAATGACGATACTTGTGAAGAGGTTTTGCTTTCGTACATTTCTACTCTGCCTATAAATTGGTTTTCTTGATTTAAGTTCTCATTAATATACAACAAGATTACCATCTTTTATAAGTATTAACCCCCTTCTCCGCAGTCACGCATTTTAAGGCATAAACCATTACCTATTTCTAACGCAAGGTCAAGCATATACCATTTCCCCCACAATTAAAGATTTTCACGCACCTTAAAAATTTCATTTAATCCTCAATTAATTGCAAAATTCAATCATATTTTATCCTTGCTTATATCTCATAAAATTTAATCAAGAGGCCCACGGGCCTTATAGGTCACCTGAGTATCATGCAACAACTTTCAAACAATTGAATTTGGTTCGTGTTTTAAACCAGAGGTCATAAAACTCACAATTTTGAAAGGGGCACCATTCTCATAATGATAGACTTTGCATGCTTACTCTAATTACTTGTATATATAATAACAAGAGGTCTATCAGAGTAATAAACAGAAAATGCACTTCCACTTTATAACCAGTTATGCACCCCACCCCAAAGGAACCACTGAGCCTTGGGCCACTCATCGTCTCCAGCCACGGTCTGAAATCCGCATATATAGCTCTCTCCTACACGGTGTATAGGCATAATGGACCCTTTCCGCTGAAACGGACCCTTTCAGCAGAATTAACGGATACTTTCTGCTAAATTTTCAAAACAACAATGGAGTCTTCGACAAAAATGGGTTCATTTTGAGAAAAGAAAGGGTTAGTGAATATAATTTTGCTTCCACGGAATATCAGCGATATTGATATTCCTTAGTAAGCTATTGTTTATTGCCATGCATTTACCAATTAAGCTCATGAAACGTTTTAATTTGATCTAAAATCCATCGCGCAGACGAAGGCCCCTTTAAATGTAGATTTTTGCGTTAAATCGTTTATATTATAAATTGAATATTGATGTATTTTTGTGAATATAAGAAACCCAGCAATGCTTATGAAGCATGAAGCATTGCAGTAATTTTAATAAAAGTGGGTCTTGATTTTTTTGTTAAAGAAACGGTCCCTTTCTGACACATGCATTTTCTGGCACCGGGCCCTTTCAGATGCTATTCAGTTAAGCTATCATTTGAAAATTTATCTCACATATTACTAATAAGACTATTTATTTAAAACTCCCTTTTTTATTTGACTTGTCAAAAATCTCGGGAAGTTTCTAGTATGCCGGTCCCCAGAATCACGCGATTGCGCATGAGCAGTCATTTCCCTTGCCGTTGCTATGCAGAATGTAAACAAACCGCAATTTCCCACTCGCTTTAACAAAACGCATCCGATCGAGTGATTAGGGTTAGGTTATATAGTTTTTAAAATTGGGGTTGTTTTATAAATCCACTCTGTAATCTTTCTGACTTTGGGCTAATTTGTGTTATTTTTGCACTATGAGCGCCTTTTGTGACCAAAAACTTGCATGAATCAGTCTGTCGAATCGTGCCGATATCTTACACTTTGGTTTAGTTCCTGAAATTTTTGCTTTCAAAGGAAAGTTTAAGAAATGAAACTTCGGGTAAATCGACTCTATTGTCGAAACATAACGATTTTCTGCGCTGAGTTTAGGCAAGTTATTGTAAAAGCGACTTACCGTTAACTGCAGCTCGATATCCTGACCTCCTAATCATATCCAAATATTCAGAATATTTTTCCTTTCAAATCGATAATGATGCACAATTCAATCCATCGATGACTAGTAATTAGCTAACATTTGTTAAATCCCTGTATTTCTCACAAAAATCACGCAATTCTAATAGCATTGCACTTTGAGTCCTATCAGGCATTTCTTCATTACGTCAAAACACAAGTGACGCATCTCATGAATATTCATGAGATTACGTCAAAAATTGATCATGTGACTACATTCCTAAACAACGCAAGATGGAGATTTACTTCCTAAACAAGTACATTATTTTACGAAATCTTTTAATTCTCATTTAAAAAACTGTGTTTAAACACCAGTTTTTTAAACCCAATTTTTCACAAGGAACACGAAATTGGGGTCAAATTTGCAATTTGTGGCTTCTTTTTCGATTTTGTCGATCGCTCACTCGATCGTCTATATACTGTACACCGCCTTCGGCGGCACCTATTTAACAAGATAACAAACCTCATTTAGTTTCTGGCAAATCTTTGATATCTGTTGGAAAGGTAAATACGTCCAGTGATAAATTCCAACTTAGACCCAAACTACTCTGTGCAGGCGTTGTATGTAGATCTAAATGTACATCACTCAAATCTTCCTCTGCTCTGTCCTATGGTGGTAAAGAATCCATGACAATTTGGCTGTTGGAAGCAAATTTGTGAATTCCAATTTTTCCTCTATCTCTTAGAATCTGCTGTGTTCGTAACAGGATTTCTAAAGCTTCATTGTCTGTGTCATAAGATGACAGTCCGTCGTCGACATAAAAGTTTCTTGTTACATAATATTTCACATCATTATCACAAGGTTCCTCTACACATCTGTGAAGACAGTATGTGGCGACAGAGGGTGATGGTGAATTCCCGAATAGATGTACATGTACACACATTCTGTAGTATTGAAAAGGCTTAGCAGGATTATTGTCTCTGAACCAAATGAAACGAACGAAATTTCTGTGTTCTTTGTCGATGTCAAACATATGAAACATCTGTTCTATATCTCCTGTGATGGCTACACGTTCCTTGCGAAAACGTAAAAGGACACCTAGTAGATTGTTAGTAAGATCCGGTCCTTGCAGCAAGGTAGAGTTCAGTGAATGTCCTTGATAAATAGCCGAAGAGTCAAAAACCACACGGATCTTGTTAGGCTTTTTAGGATGGAATACTGGAAAGATAGGAAGATACCAACATTCTTCTCCCTCCTGAACCTCTGGTGCTTCCTCTGCAAATCCATGAGTAAACAGATTTTCCATAAACTTTATGGCCAAGTTCATTTTCACAGGATCCCGATTAAAAGATGTCAGCAATGAATATGTCCTTTTCAACGCTTGCTCGTTGTTGTTAGGTAGTCTATCTCTGTTCGACTTTAACGGTATAGGAGATGACCAATGTCCGGTCTCGTCTTTATGACACTTTTTCTCCATGATTTCTAAGAATTCCCTGTCCTCGATTGACATTCCCGGAATGTTATCGTCTTTGGTGCGTTCAAAAATCGGGGAAAGCTGAATTCCCTTCTCATTTGAAAAATGATTGTCTATATCATCTTCATACGTTGAGATTCTTTGATTTGATGAGCATGGGATAAAGTGAGTTCCCCGTCCAGACGGTAAAATTTGAGTCTTGTTCACAACCACATGTTGAGGTCTGTGTACTTTTCTTAGGCAACATTCCCTTATAACGGCCCAGCCTAAAGGAAGTCGCTGTGCGAAAGGTAGATTTGGATTACCAATCCTTTGCTCCAACACATGATGAGCATTTGGAACATCACGTCCAATAAGAAGCACTTCCGCTTCATCGTCTATTGGTGGGATCTCAGACTCCAAGTCTGATAAATATTTGTATGGTTTCACTACAGCTGGGGTTGGGATCTCCTCGTATGATATTGGGATGTCATCACATTCAATGATTGATGGTAAGTATATCTGTTCACCACTGTGTATTGAAGATACCACGTAATCAAAGGCCTGTCTCCCTGAGACCATGGCTGAACCACTGAATGATGACAATGTATATGAAATATCTTGTCCCTGGATTCCAAAGTTGTCAAAAAATGATGACTTTGCGAGTGTCTTGCTGCTTTGATCGTCAAGGATCACATACGCTCTTTTCTTTAGATCTTCTCGACCAACTCGAAAAATGTTCACTAAGATAATCTTTGCACAGGATTTCCCACTGAATGCAGCAGAACAGACTTGAGTACAGTTTGTTGTAAAAGATGATGGTATACTGTTCTCTCCACCATGTGAATTCTCCTTATCCTCCCTACCCTGGGAACTGTTAACATGTAAGGCACCACAATGTTTGTCACTTTGACACACGTCACACTTAAGCTTCACGTTACAGTCTCGCGCTAAGTGTTCCTTGGAATCACAACATCTGAAACAAATTCCATTTTCCTTGAGAAGCTTTTTCCTCGAACCAATAGGAAGGGTTCGAAACTTACGACAGTCTTTGATATTATGATTTGATTCAACTCTGTGTTCTAAAAGACATGGTTTTCTTTGTCCTGTTGACTTGTTAGGCTTAACATCAGTTTTTCTTGAACGTATAGGTCCTGCGTTTTTGGGTTTTATGTCTTTCTTTGTAGGTTCACTGAACTGTGATCCAGGATCATTTCTCACACGACATAAGTTTTGAACGAATTTCACAAAGAAAGTAAATTATGGGTATGGAACACTATAACGCTCCTTGTACTCTGAAGCCTTGGATATCCACTTCTCTCTCCACTGATAAGGAAGTTTGCTTACTATCGGTGCAATTCCAAGAGAGTTGTCATAGTAAGATAATGCTGCTGAATATTTAGGGTTCTTTTTCACACCATCAACTTGTGTCAGTAGATCAGACAGTTTGTAAAGTTCTTTCGGATCTTTTGTCGAGAGTTGTGGTAAAGCAGCTACCTTCGATCTCAATGAATCATCAATGAGTTCGATAGCCCTATACCTTCCATCTAATCTTGACCATATTTGATGTAGTCCCTCGCGAGGATTTTCAGCATTTGCTTGATGTATATCTGCTGCGTGTTTGAAGGACTCTGGTCCTAACTATCGTACGAGTAACTAAAGTTCCTCAAAGTCTGAAATGTTCAAGTCTTTTACAATCGAAGTGAAGTGTAACTTCCATGCGTTGTAAGCTTCTGGTTCATCATTGAAGTTTTTAAACCGCGACAACAAAACTTCCTTCCTTAACAGAAATTTAGTGACCGATTCCATCGAATCCTCCTTTGGTTGATTATTGAAAGCCTCCTTTGGGTGAACAAATTTGGAGTTCACATGTGTTCCAACACTAGAGTCTTGTTCCTGAGAAACACTAGCTACAAAGTCCGCAACTCGCTGTCTATTATCACTCGGTAATTCATCTAAGATTGAATTCCGTACACTTTTACTTTCAGTTTCTACTTCCTCAAGCACTCTAGCTTCCGCATCCGCAATTGCTGCTGTACACGTTTGATCCAGAATTTGAATTTGTCCTTTGATTTTTGACTTCTCTGTTTGGAGGTCCACTTGTTTTCTTATAAACGCTAATTTAGTTTTTTCTGCTTCTGCCCTCTGACGTAACTGAACACGTTGAGACTTTGATGTTCCGCTGACAGAACTTCTAGTTTGAGATCGAGATCCTTCGGAACCACTTGCCCTCGATATGGTATCCCCTGCATCCAGCAGGGCATCCTCGATTCGGTTAATGAGTTGATCTATGACTTGAGAACGTTTCTGGAACCTGGGTTCTTGGACAGAATATTCTTCAATGCTTTCTCTTGTGTTTGTTCTTTTAAGAAAAGATATAAAGTCATTTCCACAATCAGAAGAAGTATGTTTAAGTTCCTAAACTTCTGATTTAAGTTTACGTAAGTCTTTGAATTTTTTCTGATCTATATATTCATCTATGTCGACTAACACTTCTTCAATCATTGACCATGCCTTTTGTTCCTGAGTACTATATCTCTTAAGAAATGTAAAAAAAAATGTTCCATGCCTTTTTCTGTCCTTGTTTTGAGTCTTTTTTTCCTCACCTTCCTCTGTAAGAAGTGTCTCTTTTTCACTTTTGCTCGTATGGACTGTGGGTTTTCCTTCAGCATATTCCTCTGTAAAAAGTGGCTCTTTCTCGCTTTCGCTCGCACCGACTATGGGTTTTCCTTCAGCATTCAAACTGATAATATTAAATATAAATCAATAACATTTCTTTCAAAGTACCAATGCATTGACCAAAATAATATGCTATTGAAAAAATATCTGACACCAACAGATCACAAAAAAATGTTTCACAATAATACATGTATATGGTGTCGATACTGAGCATGATCAATTTATATTAACTGTATTATTGTTCATTTTAACCAATGTCAGCATAATGTTATTTATAAAGTTACTGATATGGCACAAATGAGATCAGTGTTTTGCACGTATGTACACACAGTGTCCTGGAACACTAGAAATACCACGACGATCCACCAGCACAGATTTGGGGGTAGTCAGTTGGAAGTCCCAGCTTCACAGGCATCTGACATCCATCGAAGAGTCGTCCATCGTCAGGATAGGTTACAATCAGGATGGTTGAGGTGGTAAATAAACGATTTGTTACTGTTCTGCCACAGGATTGGAAGAAAAACACCCAGCAGTTTTCATACTTTATTAAACTTGTAGCATGACGTATTATGACGTATTACGGTAACAACTGAAATAACAAAACAATATTTTGACTTATAATTTAGAAAATTTAGAATTCACACACATACAATATCTTACACACTATGCCAAAAATCCTAGTAAAGTTTTCCGAAAAATGATAGAAAATAATTTTACACATATACAAACAAACTCTACAAATAAGAAAAACACATACATCGTTGCGCCTTTTAAAATATGCACCATTTAAAATGTGGAAAGAAGTCGAAAATATTGAATATGACCATTATTTGCACCAGCTGAAGACTTTGCTGGGTGTTAAAGCTGATTTTTCAAGAATAGACTAATTCTAGGTTTGCGAATGAATTTTTAGCATAAGCGACAACTGCGATAAAATGTAAACAAGTAAAAATGTTTTCACAGAATGATAATTTCTACAGACACATGATTTATTTTAATTTATTCAGACCTCCAGTGATACATACATTACTGACAGTAAGGAAGGTTATGACCAAAAAATCCTGAAATACTGTCAAGGTCTGCATGATAATACTTAAGTTCTAACCATGCATCATACATGTAAGACATGCCTCTTGTGGTTCTTAGGACTTTATTTATGCTTTCGCAGCACATTCATGTTTTTTCAGTTTGTCGGAGAGAAAAATGAGCACGTATTACATTGTATTGAAATATTAATAAATTCCAAATTTAACTGATGAAGAAATGCATATTTACATAATTGAAATATCAGAATAACTATAATTCAGCTAATAAGGTGCACATTTCTGTTCAGATCACTTCCTATAAATTTTATCAGCAGTTTTTGTACACCCACGAATCATGGAAAACCCATAGAAAAGTGTTCAAACTCATTAAAATGTTTAATATTTATATTCTAAAATTTAAATGTTTATTTTTTTATGTAAATTTGTTGAAACAAAAAGATATAATCTTGCATAAATCATGGAAATTCATTAAACACCCTTGGTTAAATTGAAATTTCATGGCTAGTGTCTTAAGAAAAGCCAGTGTAAATCACAACAATAAATTACATCTGAATTGTTGTCCCTAGTTTCTGCCCTGATTACAACACAGATTTAGATAAACTTCCTTTATTTGGAACATAAATTGACCAGATACAGTTTTCATTATCAACCCAGTATTTAACAATTTCTGTATTTTTGTTCATTCTTTGAACAAATGCAACTTTGTTATCTGTAAAATTTGTTTGTGGTGAAGAACAAAGCATATACTCTCCACAGATATTCTTTGAAAAGCAACTTTGCAAAAATTCAACACCTTCAAAGGTCCTTCAATATCACATAATTGACCATGAACTTAGTCAAATGTCCCATATATATAGAATTAATTTTCTTTTCTTTTGAATAATCAGCTGAGACACATAATTACATAAATTGGTACTTAGACTTGTAAACTCTTTTCTGTTTGTGGTGAAGAACAAAGCATATACTCTCCACAGATAAAAAATTGGTTGCCAAGCTTAGAAAAACGTCTTACTTATATAGAATTAATTTTCTTTTCTTTTGAGGCGTTTTTCTATTTTCTTCCATGACTGCTCAACGAAAACCGGAAGAAGACGGCGCAGCATAAATTTTTTATTCTATATAGAAGAACCGAAAACGGCACTGAAAATTCCGGTTGCGTCACAATTTGGATAAATAAACATGGCGCTAAAGGAGTTTCCGTTAGCATTAGTATTTTAATCCCTGATATTGTGAAACAAAGAATACAGATTGCCAGTAAAATTGGAAAGAACTAAGTGTTTTTCGAAGAAAAATGTTTTTAAAACATCCTTCAGAAATCTCTCTGTTAACTTTATATAAATGAAAACAATTACACCTCTTCATGAGTTAATTCTTAATATTGTCGCTTTTTGAATCTTGTGAAATGGCATTTGTTGTAACGATCATTGATAGGAATCCAGTGATCCTATGTAGTCTCCAGTGACTTGTTGACATGAGGCATGCAGTTATATAAACACTGCCATCATTGATAAGTAGAGTATGTACATCCTGAAGAGATTGTTGTGACCTGACTGTGTCATCCAGTCTGTGGTAATTCAGTATAAGCAACATGTGTAACATAACTAGACGTGGGATATGTTATTCAAATATACCATGCTAATAATCTGCTGCTCCATCACCAGTTTATTACTGTAAGTGAACACATTGAGCATCTTAATTAATGTCTTTCACTACACCTGTCCCCAACTTTTTACTCCGAGGAATTCCATCCATGAACTGTCCATACACATTTTAATTTACATTATCACCATACATAATATATGGTTGTGACATTCTCTCCTGTGTTTTCTGTAAATAACTGAGTGAACCTACGATCTCTGTACAAGAGCAAAGCAAGGTACAGACAATCTGACACACAACCAAAGATGCATGATACCTTAAGCAATTTAGATACTAGTACTCCACTAGATTTGTAATAAACCTTATTGCCATAATTATTTGGAGGAATCTTACTCTGAATCAAGAAAGCGATGTTCCGTAACACACTTGATGTTATACATTGTAATGTTACCATAGATGTATTGTATGATGTGGAGTTAGGTTTTCAATAATCATTTCTCAGCTTTAATAAGGGGGTCAGAGTTCACATTCCTGGTACAACGTATTGAAAGTTTAATTGTGACGTCATGAAAATTAAACAAGCCATAAAAATTAAATTTTCGGTACTCTCCAAACAGCACAGACTAGCTAGCTGCACTTTTTGCGTAGAGTAAAAAAAAGATCTTTAAATAGGTATAATTTTTTTCTTGAAAACAAGCGTATGCTCTTGCATTATCCTCATTCCCTACATTCAGTTTAACAATTCTATTTTTATACAAGTCACGTGGCAAACAGCTAAAACATGCGATATAACTGCCATTTTTTTACGACCAAGCCCTATCCATTATGGGTAAGCTATAATACTAGGTATTACATTTTCTATAGGTGTTCAATTGCTTTGTTCCTTTCTTTAAAAGAAGTAATACATATTAAAACGGCGCTAAGGTCACATTTTCCTTAACACAGCTGAGTCGTTTAACCCCTTCACTTCCGTATCGGTCAAATTGACCGGTGGCGCGTTAAAACACGACTTCGCAAAATAAGATCTCCGTATCTATTTAATGGTAGCATGAAGGTATATAAACTATATATCATCTTTTTGGAAATTTTCTCTACTTTTAAAATATCTAAAAAGATTATGTCTTGAATGCCGGTATTTAATCGATTTTACGTTGTAAAGACAAACGTGACTTTTTGAAAATGGCGTAATTTTCCAAAGCGATTGCCGATTTTCCAGACGATTGACAATTTTTTCCTGTTTAACTTTATGAAGAAAGCATGATATATTCTTAAAGCATATTTTATTTACTTTTAAAATATGTAAAAATTATTGTTATTACTTTAAGGTATATTTTAAAAACAAGAATTTTCTTGCACTTATGTGTTTTTTTCTCGGTTTTATTCGTAATTTTTAAACAAAGCTCAGTTTTACGTTTATTTCTGTGTTGAAATAGGGAAAACAAAATAAAGCTGGTAAAAGTGGAGAAAATTTCCTTTCCAACAAGCCCTTACAGGCCTTCTTACGCTCAGTATTTTCTTAATTACGATAATTTGAATTTGTGACCTTCGCATAGTTTTTATGGAAAAATCGGTCAATATTTACCATGTAACGTCAAGGTCGATATTGTTGCGTCTTACTCGAAACAACAAATTCTTTTATAAGACTTTTTTGACCATTTAAATAATTTTTTTACTGAAATAAATGCATAATACAAAAATACATTTAAAAAAACAAATATTTACTATCGTTCTGCCTTTTGTGTAAAATGAAATGTCAATTTATTCATCCACATGTAATGATGAAAATTTCATGTAGTGATGTACAATGTTGAGAAAAATTGTAGATTCCCTAAACGTCGATCTTTACTAAAAAAAAATCAGATTTTAATATAGTTGTATCTTGTTATATTGTATACTTAATTTGCAAATTAATTAGATCTATCTTAGCACGAAATTTAACAAAACAAGAATTCGGATTTATAAATAAATACGACTCATCACTGTATGAGTTGATACGAATTGAAATAACCACGTGTTTCCGCTATGGTGGCAGTAAACAAACAACATGATGGTGATCCGAAATCTGAACGTCAATTTTCATGATTATTTCACGACGAAGATCATCACATCAATGAATCAAATAATACGGACATCCTTTGGTATTAGCAGGTGAGAATACGTGTATATTGACTGAATAGTTTAAGTTTAAAACGCAATTACTTCACGTTCAAAAGAAAACTAAATGTAGACATCTACATGTACTAGATCTTCATATTTCAGTGTGCGTATTTCGTATTGTTCAGCCAATTTTGTGTTGCTTTTGAACTTTGATGCTTTTGACAAACACTCATAAGTTCAAAGTAAAATCAAAGTTGCCATTATATTAAATAGATAGTTGTTTTCAGTATGTGTGTACCAGTGTGTACATATACCACTTTCACTTTGAATTTTTAGGGTCCTGGCAACATATGCAACAATACTTTCATCTGTGAATACCCACTTGCTAAGCCCACCATGATCTACGAATGCCAATTAATATGTAAGGACACCAATGAACAGGTAAATTTTTGTTTTGTTGTTGAAAATTTCTGTATTTCTAAAATTTCAAAAAATAAAGTCAAATTTCATTTGTGTCATTCTCATGATAAATCAATCATACGAGTTTATAAACATTTGATTTATATTTTGAAAAATAAGTGTTTGAAACACATAATACTTATGATGCTTGATTATTCATACAAACACATTATTTAAACACGTAATATCTATTTGAATGAATGCCGAGATATGAAACAAGCTGTTTTTATAGACTGCTGTTGTATTTCCAATCTGCATAAAGTTTGTGGTTAGAATTTCCATTCTCTCATTTTTTCAGACACTTTCCAATTATCGTACATCATATATATGGGTGGTCAAACTCACTGGATGGTTTATCAACACTCCCATGCTCACGAACAGCCTTGCCCCAGGAATTTTGCCCTGAAGTAACATTGCAGTCAATTGTCTCCCTTCTTTTTACAACCCTGGCAGCCATGCAGGTATGCAATCTATGAAAGCCATGAAGGGACATAGAATTTTTTTTAAAATTTATAAAAGTAAACCGAGTTCTCGATTTACACAATCCATTCTCTCGGATTGACAATCTGTTATAACAAATTGCCAATTCATATTCTCACAGATTATCTTCCCTCAAATTACACAATCCATTATCTCAGTATAATTCATTCTCTTAGTTTAATTGACACGTTCCCTCGGAATGTAAACCCTTCCCATGATTTCATTAAAATTATTTATCTGTACATATCGGATATGGTAATACATATTTAAAGAATAGAATATTGTAGTATTTTACATCCAACCTTTTATTACATATTACCATATTACCAAAATGAGAAAAATACATGAACATTTTCAAATCCACATGCTAGTACTGATATTTGTACAACAAAAAATCTTTGAGGTTTTTGGTTACGTGTATATTAAGATAATTGAAAGTCCGATATAGTAAAGTGAATATGGGTCCTGTGTAATCATAATATTTCTAAAATAAATATACGTTGAATTAGTTATGAAAGAGGTTGGAAATGACCGGTTGCTGAAACAAAATAAAAAGAAGTGAACGCACTAATTGATTAAAATAGTTGGATGTATCTGTACATATATGTAATAAAATTCAAGAGCACATATTGCCAAAATCATAGGACTGACGTTGTAACAAATCGAGATCTCGAATTATTAATCTGTGAAAACGAATTACCAGTATGTAATTCGAGATCTCAAATTATGAATCAAGGGGGCGAATTAGTAATCTGTAAGATCGGATTGTGTAATTTGAGATCTCGAATTATAAATCGAGGGAATGATTTAGTATCCGTGGAATTGGATTGTCTAATTTGAGATTTCATTTTCTACTTTCTTGAAAAATTGCTGTGTCCCTTCATGGCTTTCTTAGCAATCTAATTAAAATTAGATCTTCCATCCACTGCCAGATTTTTTTTTACATATTGCGATAGCGTAAACAGAGGTCTGGCTTTAGTCAGATTGCCATATATGCTATTTGTTTTAGTTCAGTAATTTTACCATAATGGTTTACTACAAGGTTGTTGAATTATCAGTCCTGATACATTGACTTAACAATATCATTTAACTACTTGAATCACACAATAGATGCAATCTTAATTTTAAAAGGAAAATCAAATAAATGTAGTAATTTTAGCATTCTTAATTTTATTTATAAATGTAAATTCATATACACAATGGCATGTATCTGTTTCAAAATATTTAAATCTTTTACAGGATAGAAGCTGATCACTTGAACTTGAAAGCAAATTATAATGTCTTGGACAAGTCAAAGAACTTCCTCCAGTCTTACAGAGAAGTAACAGTTGATAAGAGAATGGTGGACACAAAGTAAAAGTGCTCTTCAACATTTTGTTGAAGATTTCAGTCTGATTTGGAATTCATCTTGCAATATATCTGGATTTGTATATTTGGATATAAGCATCAAATTTTCAACTTATTGACTAAACAGTTTTGGGCTAAATATTGCCAATGTTATTTATTATTATTATTTCCCTCCAAGATAACATGTCAAGTCTTTATTGTACCCCTTAAGCTCAGTTATACCAGAAAAATCTTGTAATGTAATCATTTAGGTTTTTTTTCTTGTTAGATTAAATCCATGAAAATAAAGATTATTTTTAATGGCATCAAGAGAATGGATTTCTTGTTTAACAAAAAGATTGTATACATGTTTTGCTAGGGGTTTGTAAGAAGCAGACCAGAATTCTTTGCTTGCAAATTTTGTCGTTCGCCATTTTTATTACGTCAACTATTAGATGATTTATCCATGTATGAAGCATTTCAAAATTGATATTTACTTACAGTTTAAAGCAGAATTCTGTACTGATTTGACCTTGACCCCCTGAAGAACAAGAGTGTCAAGGTCAATTTTTTTAATACAAAAATGTTCTTTCATCTTTATGGCCCATATATATCTTACAAACAATATCATGAAATATACAAAAAGTGTCTAGAATGTGAAATAACAAACATGTATATAGCCAAAACCTTTAAAATGTTGTTGCTTAGCAACCACTAAAAGGTCATTAAACAGATATTTGAACTAAAATGATGCATGGATATTGCAGTTCTGATCCCTTTTTGAGAGTATATTCAGAATTTTCCATTTCAGCATCCATTGTGTAAAATTATGGCAAGAATATTGAAAAGTGTTGAAAAAAGTTGATGAAATTGTTGCACTTATTTGACCTTTGACCTGCTAAAAATAGATCTAATGAGGTCAAACTTTAACACAATTTATCCACTGTATGTCCCTTGTAATTTTATGACCTCACATCTAACTTTAATATGTGCTTGGATGCATAAATGTATCTAGATTGAGTAAAAAATGAAAATTTCTGCCCGAAAATTAAAGAATTCTGCGTTGCTTAGCAACCCCTTTTAAGTAGTTATATGCAGAATTGAAAAAAAAGTTTATGTGTTTCGTGTACTACAGTATAATGCTCTTTTGTGGGTATATCCCAAATTTCCTATTTCAACATACATTATACTTAATATTTAGTTTGAAGATTAAAAAGTATCAAAAAATTCCATAAAATTTTGCACTTAATTGACCTTTGACCTCAATTTTTACTAATAAGGTCAGTGGTTGAGCATCTAAATAGTCATAAAATATCATCTCTATGTAATTCCCTTCAAAATGGTATGAATTATGCCTAGCTTTCACCTAGGATAAAAAGGTTAGAAGTAAGTTAGTAATGACATGTAAAAGGCCTCCAAAAACACGTAAAATGCGCCGGAAGAGAAAGGGTTAATAGGTTTTATGTAAACTATGAATTCCTCAATTTAATCGATGTGTTCCTGTAAGTTTATATACATAGTTCTCATAGGGATCATGTTTGAAAAAAAATGAATCTACACCCTCTGAAGATGCTTCCATATAAATATATATTTCTATGTAAAACTTGATCAGCCATTGTGGCCCCTACTGAAGGATAATTCCATATGTGTTTCATCATTCCTGGTCCAGTGATTCTTGAAAAGATTTTCAAAATAGGCCATTATTTTTTCGTTAATCCATTTCCCTTTTGAAGAGAGAATGGACCTTCATAAGAACAAAATTGAATTCCCTTTACCCAAGGATACTTCGTGAAACTGATTTGGGAAAAATGTTCATTAAAGACTTTACAAAAAGCTACATGAAAACAGTTTTAAAATGTTTTTAAAACGTTATAATGAGAAGATGAAGTGTTTACTCTGAAATTCTTTACCAAAACGTTTTTGCAACATCATAAATATGTTTTGACAATGTATTTTTGATACGTGGGATATTTGAGATATTGGCATATAAAGAACATTTAAATTTTTCAAATTTATACGATATTTTATCTATTTCAGAATTAAAAGAAAACTTTACAATGCATTTAAACTGAGAAACTGTAATTCGTCTTAAATACATGGAAAAAAACATCTAAAACATCGATAATAATACAAAAGAAACATATAACAGCATAAAAACTTACATAAAACAAAATATAAAATTCATCGGTAAGAGTGATAAAAAACATCGTGGTTCATAAAGATGTATAGTTTAAAAGATATCTTTCAAGAAATCTCTCATATGATTCATATCAACACTACAACTCTCCCTGAATTAGTGTGTTAATTCTTAAAATTGTCACTTACTGAATCTTGTGCAATGGTATTTGTTGCAACGAAAATTGGTAAGACTCGAGTGATCCAAAATAATCCCCACAAAGAGGTAGGGGCTCCATGTGCGAAAATCGGCCCCAAATTTTTCGAATTTTCAAAGCTAGTTAATAAAATCGATTTTACTTATATTTCACAGTTTACCATCATTGCATTCCACAAATAGCAAAAGTTCGGGAGATTGACTACTTATGACGTCATATTTGTGACGTAAACCTGACGTAATTTGGCAAAAATCATCAAAATCTCATAATTTTTGCCATAAATTGATTAAAAAAAATACCTCCGCACACACCCACCAAAACAAAATTTCTTGTAAATGTTCATTATTAACAAATCTATCAACAATTGAAGTATCGTATTGGTGGAGGCCTGCGGAGCATGAAAAATCGATCGATGAACGAAAAGCTTTCCTGTCATTCCAAGTAATCAATTATCATAATTTACATCAATATAATTTCCAGTAGATATGATATTGTGTTTTTATATCACCGTACCTATTTTAAAAACATGTTTTAATATATCTACTAATAAATGTAAGAAATTGTTATCAATTTAGGACATGGTAGCTGAAATATGCAGTGATTTTGGGTATAATAATTCCAAATCAGTCCGAATTTTGCTACACTCACGCAGTCATTTACCTTATATACCGCTGTACCTCGCATTACACATGCACACCTGTGTCAATCCAACCTTTATTTTTAAACAGAATGGTTTGTGAATATTACATGCAAAAATAAAAAGGCATAATGTATTAATTAAACTCTAGCTTCAACAATATCATTCATAATTTGCTACCCTTTTCGAAAATCAACTCGTATGAAAACGATGCATTGGACTTCCCATCGAAGTCGTGACGTTTTTGCCTAATCAGTTGTGAATTGTTGGTGGATAAAACACAATGAATTAGGTTACGATAGAATGAACTTCCATGAACATTATCTGTTTGATAACACCTAAAAATATACAAAGTTATGACTGCTTTGTACCCCACTCCCTACAGTTTGGTATTATCTATTTTCGAATCACGTGTACAAGACTGCAGCTGAATTAATTGCCCATTCTGCACACACAATTTATTTATATACAATGTTCTATAGTGTAATAAATTAATATTGGTTTCTTTAAATGCAACTTAAAGGGTATGTAAGTAACGATTTTATAAAACAAAGCGAAAACTATTCCAAAGTCAAAACCGGGTTAATATCGGTCAGCGTCAGTCATGTAAATACCACCGTCTCCCCCCCCTTCTTTCTAATGCGCCGATTTGTCGAAGATATCTTGTTCTATTATATGAATATGATTTTTTTTGTCAACTGGGACAACTGGCTTTCATATATTAAATATACTGAATTCTGCATCTTAATAAGTATTATATAACATTCACAGTTAAAATAAAAAAGATGATTCGAAATAAAATGAATGTCCCTGTAAATATTTGATCCACACACCACATTACAATTCTGCGTGTAATTAGTCTTTCATAAAAAAAACTTAAGTAAACAGCGCAACAATTGAACACAATTAAAACAAAATGATAGTAAATCAGCATGTGCTTTTCTGTTCATAAAAAACAAATTTAAAAAAGTAATTTGAGCGGAAATAAATTGGATGCCGTGGAACCCTCCTCGAAAACAGATAAACCTCTATGTGAAATGATATAAAAAGTCAATCATTGAATGTGGTATAAGTGATTGTTGATTGAATGTTGTTTACATTAACCATTTGGAAATAGTTTATACTTAAAATAAAAGATAACAGTGAAATTTCAACTCACTTGTACATTACATGATATTACGAAAGCCCAGTGAGCTCATTTTCGTAGGTAAAAAAAATAAATTTTTCGCGTTATAACGCGAAACTTTCGCGAATAAACGCGTTACTTTCGCGTTATAACGCGAAACTTTCGCGCGAATAAACGCGTTACTTTCGCGTAATAACGCGAAACTTTCGCGTTAAAACGCATAACTTTCGCGAATAAACGCGTTACTTTCGCGTTATAACGCGAAACTTTCGCGATATAATGCGTAACTTTCGCGTCATAACGCGAAACTTTTGCTGTTTAACGAGACATTTGCTTTAGTCTCAACGTTCTTTTGATTTTGTCATCAATTTTATTCATTTAATACAATGATAATCAAAAGGCTATTTTGATCTTGGACTATCACAAGTTAAATTTTAAGCTTTCTTGCTATTGAATCCATCTTAACCGTCACAATTTGTCTATCTCAACGCTGTTCAACCAATTCAAAGTTTATGCGAGTTCCAAAAGTTAAACTTCAAGCTTATTAATTTCGGAGAAAATCACCCCTTTTCCGTTTTTTCTATGCACTCTCTAGAGAATTTGAAATAATTTTATTCTAGAGAGATCAAGATTTCAGAAAATTGTCAAAATGAGGTAAATTTGTCAATTGTGTTCCACCGCATTTGTGAAAATTGGATAGCAGATTTTCATTTGTCTCCTTTAGATTCACTGTGGAAATTAGATATCCTATTTTGAGGTTGCGCCACGTTTTCATTCCATTGCTTACGAAAACATTGACAATTCAAAGTGTACAAAATCTGCTGTATACCTTCATAGTTTTTATTTATGGCTAGTCCACGAACTTCTCTATAACCCAATATTGGAGACAATGAAATTATACATTGTTCATTCACTTCTAAGTTATGTTTCTACAGTGTATAATTTTTTCTCCAAAATGATTGATTGCTTAATTTACTAGTGGTACAGTTGAAGTAAATGTTACTGATTAAAAAACAGCTAGAAAAAATGTCAAATGGAGATTTTCCTTAAGAAATTATCAGTCTAAAGAATTCAACAATTGAAAAACATGTACAAGAAAGTAAAATTCATTTTATTAATTCAATA